GTATGCGAAAACCTATAAAAAAGTGCTTTTGGATTCAAAAAAACTATGTCGGCAAAAAATGCCGCCTGCTCTATGAGGAAATGCCCACTGTGCAACAATTGTACGATACATAAGTTGCATGAGAAAATCTATAACTAGACTTTCCGTAATCTATTTCTTTTTTTATATGTACATTTATGACTCTACCAACGAGATAATATTCTACACACAAAAAAATATATAGTCTGTTTGTTCTCAAACATAATCAATTGAATAGAGGTCTTTTCAACAAAATTTTGTTAAAAAAATTCGTTTGATTATATGTAAACGAAAATAGAATCAGTAACTCTTCAGTTCTTATCGTTTTAGAGCAACAGGAGTTTTAGAATTTTTTCATTTATATTACGCTCGAGATAAGAAATATCATATTAAAATTATAACTGTTTATCGAACAAAAATTCTAAGTTAAACGATCTCGATGTTGTATTTTTTTGTGAATGATCCAAATTGATTTACGGATTTTTTTTTATGTAAAATAAATAATTAGAAGAAATTCAAATTTTTTTCCATTTTTTGTTTAGAATATTTACAAAAAAAACAAGTTGATCGTGCAGAAAAATTATTGTTAGCCAAACAACATGGTCTATTTTCTGAATGTATTTGCTGTTGTGAAGATAATTTATTAGATGAAGATATGGTACTATGTTCCGATGGTCATCAGTTATGTAGTACATGTGTTCGAAATTATATTGAAACTGGTTTTAATCAAAATGGTGATTGTTTCTTTACATGTTTATATCCAAATTGTAAATTAGAATATTCTACACAAATTATAAGAAATTTAATAAGTCCAATATTATTTTCACGTTTATTAATTAAAATACAACAAGAAGAAATTCGTCTAGCAAATATACCAAATTTAGAACAATGTCAATTTTGTACATTTGCTGCAAGTAAGTTCGTAAAAAAAAAAGTATGAAAGATTTAATATCAGACTGCCAAGATTGATTTAGTTGTCGATGATCCAAATGAAAGAATATTTCGTTGTTTAAATCAAGAATGTTTAAAAGAAACATGCCGGTTAGGAAAAACCTATCTTTGGAAATGAAAGTTTATTTTATTTCTTTTTTTTTTCTTTTCTTATAGACAATGCAAAGAACCAAATCATATCCCATTACGATGTATTTATTCAATATATCAATTCATCAAAAAAATCGTATATTATTTTTTTTACTCTAATTTTTTAGGTGATGAGGTTGAAAAAGAAGATGAACTAGATATGAGAAAATTTATTGAAAATCGAGTCTCAGAATCGATGATTCGTATTTGTCCAAAATGTAAACGGGTTAGTTGATTACAACTACTCTCCTTTCCAGAATACGAGATCAATCTAAACTTTTTAAATATCTCAATGAAAATAGATAGAGAGTTGCCGGTTTTTGCTTGTATCTACCACCGTTTGGATGTCTCAGGGATTCCAGTAACGAGTAAACCACTCCCAAGTTGCAAATCGTTTTTTTCAATGAAACTAGGTGGACTATATGTAACTGATGACGTTGATTCCGAATATGAACATCGGAGTTGTTCTTAGGCTTTTCTTGACCAATTTTTTGAAAACTGGATCTTCAGAAAACCATGGATCAAATCCAGATAATTTTTCTGAATCGACCATTTTGTAGAGGACACAAAACTGTCTGTGTTCCATAAGCTTTACTTTTTCAAAATGTCATTTGACAGTACTATGATTTTTGCAATGTATCCTACTGTAACATTTTCCCATCAAAACCAGAATGGCCACTCTTTCGAGAAATTTTCCTACGCTGTTGATTTTTGTTTTGAAAAAGTAACGCTTATGGAACAGAGACAGTTTCGTGTCCTGTACAAACTGATCGATTCAGAAAAATTATCTGGATTTGATTCATGGTTTTCTGAAGATCCAGTGAATATAGACACAGTACAGCGAATTTAGTTTTGCAGTTTCTGCAAAGCTAAGTTCATATGTTCGAATCTCTATTCGTACAAAATTGATTTTGTGTTTTTCGATAGTTTTAGTTTAGAATACTATAATGGAATATTTTCCCGCTTGTATTCTGACAGAATAAAGCTTATATCAAGATCCAGTTTTCAGAAAACCGGTCAAGAAAAGCCTAATGACAACTTCGATGTTCATATTCGGAATCAGCGTTATCAGTTACATATAGACCATCTAGTTTTATTAAAAAAACCATTTGCAACTTGGGATACTTCCCTCGTAAGTCCTAGGATTCGTGAAAAACACTTTTGAGAATCTTGAAAATGAATGAAAACATAGATTATCGACTATACTGCATGTGCAGAAAAAATTGTTTTTTTCCAAAGAAAATTGATAAAAGCTTGCTCGTCAGTGTTAAACTTAAAACTTCGTTTTTCCTGCTGACGATGGAAAGCCCTAAAAGTTTTCACAAAACCGGGTGATAACCTATAATAGGTAAAAGTACCCAGTTTCAGCTGTTCATAATTCAGTCAGAATTAATCCGAACCAGTTGAGAATAACAAGATAAACTGTATTCAATTTATTGACACAATACTTGGGCATGCAACAAAAATTTTCAAAATTAATGAAAAGTAGCTTTCTTCCAAAAAGGTTTCCTAGAAGTCTTCCTAATAAGAGATTGATTTTTACTGATTTCAGGTATAGATTAGATAAAATAGAGTGAGTGCTTCAAAATCGCCTCCTTCGAACGAAAAAAAAGGGTAATGTAAATCTTTTTTTTGCAGCTTCTCCGAAATGTTCAGACAAGGTACACCAGCTGCGGGTGATATTTTCTTGCTTCTTTTCTTACCAGTTAGTTATTTCAAGTCTCTTCTTTTGAAGGGCCAACACCGCAGCTCTTGATCTATCTTCATTCGGAAATTATTAAAAATTTAATGTTGATCTCGTGTTTTGAAAAGGATAGTGATTATTTTATTAATTTTCATTCAATTCTATTTTTTAAGAGATTTTACAAAATAGAAGGTTGTAACAAAATGTCGTGTACCTGGTATGGTATTAATTGTTCTTTCGTACTTAAACTAGCTAATATTCTATTTTGAATTATATTTTAGCGGGGTGAGTGTCTTCTTTTAATTAGAAGAAATGTGCCATATATTACTATTCTTTGAACAGGCATCAGTATGCTATGTTTGTCGACAGCTCATTGATGGTTACGAACATTTCAATGATAATACGTAAGTGAGAAGATCTGACGTATATAAAAATAATTTAATCGTTATTTATTTCACAGTAAATGTGCAGCACAAGCCGATGTTGTCAAACTACATCAAGAAGAAATGAGGGTCGCTTATGAAGAAGCAAAACAAGCATATTTAGAAAAACATCCGGAAGCAGCAGCAATTGTTTTAAAATATGATCCATCTAGTCATCTAGTAGGAAACAAAAAAGAGTAAGTTTTTATTCATAGCTCTTTCACTCTCTTACTTCCTTGTCACACCAGTATGATGACAATTTTTTTCAAAAATGAAATAGTACAAATAGTTAACAAAATTGTAAGACACCACTAATTCAAAGTTGAAATAGTATTTTATTTTTGACTTATTTATACATCATTGAATAGAACTCGATGAGCTGATTCCGAATATTACGTTGTTGTCTTTTTCAGAGCATTTCTTCATGGGGAAAATTTGAAAATACGGAAGAGCCTCTGTTCTGAGGAAACCCTTCTCTTCGAGAAAAACGAGTGTAGGTCTTTCCCGTTTCGTTCTGAAACTCTCAAACATTTTTTTCCTGAATCTGAAAAATATAGATCTGGTGTTCCAAACCTATCTAGTTTTCTGCTTTAAAAGTTTTTTCTCGAATTTCTATCGAATTTCAGTAGTTATATATGTGACAATTTTGAAATACACATTAGTCGACTCAGATTTTGATCCTGATTTCGAATATGATATTTTTATTGCATAAAAGTAGAGTTCTTATGGAGAATTACGAGCACAATTCTGACTTTTTCGCCGCTGATTTAGAAAAAAGGAATTTTAAAAAATAGAGAACGTACTATTATTAACGTTTTTCGAGTTTATGGGTCTCAATTAATTATGTGGCTCAATTTCAACCTTTTCTTTATAGAAAATATACAAGTAACAATATTCTACATATATCATAATCTCGTTCTCTTTCTTCCTTCTCTCCTGGTCATGCACATGGAATTTCAGTCTTCTTTGGAATGTGTGTGCCTAGATTAGAAAAACACTAGATATATATATAATCAGTTATTTTTGTTTTCAATTTTTATGTAACATCCTGTACGAAGAGAAACTTGAAAATGACCGTGTGTTAATAGGTCGAAATACCGAATTATAATTTTAATGTTTTAGTTTTAATTGTTTAATTTTTTATTATTTTATTAAAACTTTTTATTAAAATTCTTAACATGATAGCCGCATTGGTTTTAAAATTTTTGTACTATTATTGCCTGAGATGCGGCAAATCCGATGGTGTATGATTCAAGGCTTCAACTCTTAAAGCAGAAAACTCGCTAGGTTTGGAAAACCAGGTCTACGTTTCTGAGACCTTCTAGAAACGAATATTTTTCGGAAATGTCCTGATATGTGATGAGCTTCAAAAAGACATGCTATATTCCATTTTTGATGTAGATTCAGGAAAAAAATGTTTGAGAGTTTCAGAACGAAACGGAAACGCCCTACACTCGG